GTACGCTCACCAACTTTATGGTGAGTGTACAAACAAACTGAATTTCCTCCATCTTCATGTCACAACCATTTAGTCCAAATATTTCCTAGAGTGGATAACATGTGGCCCTCCAGATGTTGTTGAACTGCAAGCCCTATCATCCCTCTAAATTGGCTATACATTGTAGGGCTGGTAAGAACTGCCACCCAATAGCCTTTGAAAGGTCAAAAGTTGCCCACTCTTGCAATAGAGAATTCTTCTGAGTCATATAGAGGAAAACTGCTGAGCACAACAATAGAGCTGACAATACCAGGAAGTAGGCTTGGGCCCTAATCAGTTTGAATGAAAATGATTTCTAATATTTGGTGGTCTGTTTAATACAATCTCCTAAAATATAACAGGGAGGAGGGAGACAAAAAGCTTAGCAAAATGGATTAAGAGATCCAGTTTTTATTGGCTACAGGAGAAGAAAGAGTTAAGTCTGCAATATACCCGAGGCAGGTGCTGCAGGGCTCCTGGAGAAGATGTGATTATTGCAGTATCTTTTTCTCCATCTCAATGTCCTTTTCTTTTTGGAAAGTTTCCTAGGCTCCTCCTCCAGAGAGGGCCCTGCTGAGAACTCGCTTTCACATCAGCACTTGCATGGAGAAGGCATTGAAAAGTCTGAGTTCCTCATGGAGCATGATGGGAGTTGAAGTTTCTCTCTTTGTTTCTTAGCCAATAAAAAGTCTGGTAGTGTCCACGCACTGATTGGCTGAGAATGGACACACCCGGCAACTACAATCCCCAGAACCCTATATTGTGGTTTGTCTTATTTTTAAAATGTTATGGTAAAAACTTAAAATAATTCTTAAAAATCAGTAAATTTCTGAATGGTTCTGAAACTTCGCAGGTCTGCATATGTAAATGGGGTCTAAAACCAAGGTAGATTTCATGCAGATAGGCCTTAAAATGGCTGAGGATTGAGCCTTTAAAGCTTTGTGTTGTAGCCAATGGGCTGAATCTTTGCCAAATGAAAATTGCAACATCCCTCCAGATTCGAGTAACTTCCTAGTAAACAGAATGAGGGGCTAGCTGACAATGGATTCCAAAATGACATGTCTATTGGCCAAATTGCACACCTCTACCAGGAAGCACATTGTTGATAGCATATTAATCTATTTCAACTGACAATCATAGACTGCCATGCCTTTCAAAGTGAATCTGATAGCTGGATGACAGACAGATGACAGGCAAGCATAGGCACCTCAGACAGCAAGCTAGAAAGTTGAAAATGTGATGTTTTCCCTCACTATAATGAACGAGTTAGAAGCAAAGATAGCATCATTTTGCTGTGTAAAACCATTCACATTATCCTTCAGAGTTTGGCACCAACACCCATTACTTTCAGATTACGCTCCATTGAAGGTGATATGTGAGAAATTTGCACCACAGAGGGTTTTTTCTTTAAAAAATCATGTAAGTCATACAGGCTGGAACCAATAATGACTCTTGTAACAAGTTGTGATCAGAAATACATACATTTATAGGCTTCCATGTAAGAAGGAACTCCCAGTATGTGCACATTTTTTCAAAGAGTGCATTTGCAAAATATGCTCATAATTCATTCATCTGAAGTAGTTCACCATACATCAAAACTACACACATGCAGAACAAGTGACAGATAATGTCATCATTAAGGTATACTACAAAAAAGAGAAAAGAAATTGAGCTCTTAAAAACTGTTCACCTTTCTCTCCTTATTGCACCCCATCTACCATGGCTCATTATTACGTATTGTTATATGTCCTTCCTTCCCAAGTTTCCTTGTACATACCCCTATGACTTCCCTAAAAATGTTTTTATTGGTCTGCTGGAAGCAGACAGAAATAATCATATCCACCTTGTATTGCTCATTATCCGGCCACACAATATGACATTTCACATCACAACTGATTCTTTTGCCTTAAACCACTTTTTTAAATTGCCTTTTACCCCCAAAGTTTTTTCATGTGGCTGCCCCAAATGGGCAGATTCACATTGGAGTTGGCAGAGGAATTAGGGATGGCTCCGACTGGTTGGTTGGAGGTAACAAGGACCTACAGTTCACGCGACTGTTTTTGCCAGAAAAAGAGCTTGGTTATGGCTCAATTTTTAATTTACCGCCTATTTATTTGTTTATGTTTTAAAGGAATGTGTGTGTGTGTGTGTGGATAGTCACAAATCAGGATGACTAAAGACAGGCTTGTATAAAACCATAGTTTGCCACATTTGAACCAAGTGGCAAATTGGTTTGCTGAAAATTAAAAGATGATTCATCTAACCTCCTTCCTCCTGCCTAAATTCACTTCCAAAGAAGGAAGGTAGAATTTAAAGACATAGCCATGTTAGTATGGATCAGTATGCAAATAGGATCTTGTAGCACCTTTGAAACTAAGGCTGCAGCTACACTGACCACTGAGCAGCGGGTATTCCCTTAGGGAACTCCTTGCATGAACCATATTTGGGGCAGATCCAGCATATGCCATGCCAAATCAGCTTTGGAGAATCAGTCCTTGTAGATCCACCCTAACTGAGACAAGGAAGCTGGTAGCATAGCCATCCATCATCTTTATCAGAAGTTTGGAGTGAAGTGCCTAGGTACAAAACTGTATGGATGTGAATGTTGTTACTTGCATTCATTGAGGAAAATTGTGTTCTGTCTCTATCTGGGCAAGTGTTGTAAAGGGGGTGATAGATTTCTTCCCCAGCTGGCTGAATTTGGAAACACCATCTTTTTAATTTGGTGGTTTCCATGTTTGAAGCATAAGAAGGAAGGTGAGAGGGCATCATTTCAAGAACAATCAAGTGAGCCGCTTGATCACTCTTGTAATGATGAAACATGAGTTTCTCACTATGTATGAACTGAACCATTAACCTCTTTGCTGTGAAAGTCTGTGTTGTTACTGAGCATCTTTATCATTCTGGATAAACCCATATATGTATTCAGCTCTCCAGTACCAGGAGTTAAAAATAAAGTTGGTCCTTGAATGTGGAACAACATCAAAATGAATAAATTGGAAGCACTTACAAAACAGCTTTGTGATGTGACATCGAATTAAAATTTAATTACATTAATTATCTCTTTTATATCCCTAGCTATGTTGAACTCCTTGGGTAATTTGCCAAGTGTGTTGTTGCAGAGTTTGTTGGAAGTATTCTTGTTTACTGTCAGAATATTCTTAGAGGAATACTTTGTAGTTTAGTCGGGAATAGAGAAAGCAAGAGTACGACCTCAGTTCAGTGCAGTTATGCATGCTTAAGCTTCTCTGAAATTAATGGGGGTTAAGCATGAATACTCTTTGTTCGACGGTGGCCTAGCTGTGGGTAATTATTTAATACGTGATTAAAATAGGTGACCTGCATTTTAACTTGTATGATAACAAATTCTGTGTATATGAGTGTATTACTCAGACTTTATGTGATTGCTCAGGCATGATATGAGGCTCAGGAAAGAAAAATCACACATGGTCAACCTTTACACATGCATTATCTGGTATAAGCAATAGGAACTGCAGATGGGCCCAATTTACTGATTATCCGGAGAAAGGCTGCCTGTACACTTTATGGCCAAGATCCAATGGTATACTTCTCTATCCAATACCAATGAAGTCGGGACTTTTTTCTCCTCCTCTTCCCATTCTCAGTGACTTTCTGTGTTACCAAAACATGCTCAGCAGGTTTATATACTTTCTGGGGAGCAGCAATGGAAGATGAATGGGATTTCTCATATTGGCAGAAGTAGTCAAATCTGGCATAAGAAGACTCTTGGATCCTGGGTCATGAGTTAGAGCTTTCAGAACTTTAATGAATTTGTGAATATTAGGCATATGAGAGCTTGCTTTCCCTTCTTTCCCATATAGCACAAACGTCCTGCAAAATGCTCTTTAAATCCCCACTCAGGTCCTTATCACATTATACCTACCTTCCAGACTGCATCTCCTTCTATGAACCAGTGCAGGATCTGAGATCTGCCGAGGAGGCCCTTCTCTTGGTCCTGCCACCGTCTCAGGTGCGGTTGGTGGGGACAAGAGATAGGGCCTTCTCAGTGGTGGCTGTCTGGCTCAGGAATGCCCTTCCTAGAGAGATTACGTTAGCCCCCACTCTCCAAACCTTTTGGTCTAGCCTAAAAACTTGGCTATTTTAATGGACCTTTGACCCGGAGTAGTCCACTATGGCTACATGTGAGGACTAATTGTTACTCTGGCCCTTTAGTTGTTTTGAAGATGCCCAGTTTATTTGCAGGTATTACTGCATTTAAATCTAAAATTTTATCAGTTGATGGCGTTGTCCATTCACTTGTACTTGGTTAAATGTATGCTGTACCGTTTTTATTCTTATGTATTTCTATTTTATGTGTGGCACCCTAGAGTGCCTTTGTGAGCAGCCCTGGGTCCCTCCAGGGAGATGGTGGTGGGATATAAATAAAGATGTTGATGATGATTACACAGTTATAGCACTACTATTCTACAATAACTGCTAGGAAAACTCCTATGGAATCTTGGGATTGGCAGTTTCGGGAGGAGCATTTAGGCTTCTCAACCAGAGAGTGATCGGACCTACAAATGCCATAATTTCACGGGATGCAGCTATAACAATTAAATTAGGATAATAGTACTATAAGATAATACTTTGTTATGTACACACACACAAACACACACAAACAAAGAATAATGAAAACACTAAAATTCATCAAATTAACTTAAAACCCATTTCAGCCTTGATAGGCTGAAAACTGACTTTATCAATATCACCACTTAAAAGTCTGTAGAAAAGTGGAGTGCACCATTGTTCTACGAATGAAAAAAAAGTGTATCTGTAAATGAAAATAATGAAAATTTTCATTTTATTCATCTGAAGTCTCTCCAAAGCAAATTCGGGGGGTATGTAATATACTACAGGGGGGAGAGAAAACAAAACAATTCTGCATCACCATCAGAAGTCACTCAGACCATGACTGACATTGTTCATTGCTTATAACTATTAAATGTTTTTGTTTTCAGGTAACTTCTTGGTACAAGAAGAATATAAAAGATTATTTCCATAAACAAGACCGTGGTTCATCTTTAAAAGAAAATGAAGACTTACTTGAGGAGCACAAGGAAATGGAAAATAAGGTTAAAGTAAGAATTTATTTGAAAATCCACATTCCCATATAACAATCATTTAAGAAAGTGTTCTGCTATTTCAGAATACACTATTTTCCCAGAAATATTTGCCTTGGTCATTAATCAAAATCAAAATCCTTTTCCACGTTGATTTAAATATATTTTACTCGTACCATCTTTCCAACTCCATGCTTTTTCCTTATGGATAGGCCATCTCCTTCCAACTTGATTTCCTTGTAAACAAGCATTTCAATTATACGTGCCACTAAATTCTCAGCTAAATCTATTCCGGACTAAAATCCTTTAGTCTTATTAGGCAGTTGGACTCAGTAACCTAAAGCTGCTTAACTTTCACTGAATTATGGCCATGGTTTTACTGTGACTGGACTTGTGTAGGATTATGACTTTCTTTCTTTTTTTCTTAGCCACTTTGTTTTTGAAATACCCTTAATCTCTTTTGAACAAATGGTCCACATTTTGAAAAGAATAATACCAATAGTGTATAATTTCTTCATGCTTTCCCCTCTTAACTGCATTAATTTTTTTCAAAAGCTTCCAGGTCAATCAACAGACCCGTAAGGGGCTCAATTTCCTTGCCACATAGATAATTGAAAGTTGCCGTTTGAAAGGTTACTTACTGTGGAGACAAAAAGTAAAATAGCATGACCTTTCTGTTGAAATCCACTGGAGCACAGTGCTGTATTTCTTTAGAGGTATTCATAAGATTGCAGGGAAAAGCGTGGCCACAGCAGGGCTTTTGTTTGTTCTTGATGGAAATGAATGACAGCAACCCCTCACTGCCAAACAACACACAGTCTGACAAAAATAATACTTACAGCCACTTTCAATAACTCCCAATGTCAGTTAATTGTAGATATGGTAAGCTTGGAGGTTTTTAAAAAAGGAATATTAATAGTTGTTCCGCTTCCACTATTACTCATTAGAATTGCTTGTCGTATGCCTTTTTGTGTTGTGTTACTCATTCCTTTCTGATTCCTCTTTTTTTTGGGGGGGGGGGGGGGAACCATATATAGAAAAAAGTAAGAAAATGGCCTCCAGAATAAAAAGGAAAGCTGGTGACACCTTGCATTTCTTCACAAAAGGTTTTGAAAAAATAATGCCATAACCTTTTAGAAAATGGCATTCATTACCATTAGGAATCTCCCTGAGAAGAGTTAAAAACTCGCTTTCGTCAACCTTCTTCCTAATGGTAAATATTCACCAGCATTCATGCAAGGCAATTAGGTTTCTCAGCTGTTAAACTGATATACCTAGAACTGTTAGGAACAATGATATGCCATTGCACAGAAGACAGAGAAAGAGAGAGCTCTCAAGAGAATAAATATAAAGTAGTCTTCGTTAAAATAACACACTTGGTTTACCCACAAACTTCATGTAGTCAGCATATAGGTACTTCGCATATCAATCCAGTTACACATAGGAAGTGATTTCTCTGAGTTGATAACACAGGGAATCTCTTTGGTCTGCGAGTCTAATGGAGTCTCTGTTTCTAAAGTATTCTGTTTCTACAGTCTTCTAAAAGCATACTGTTTCTACTGGTGTCTAAACTGTACTGTTTCTAAAATGGAGTCCTGAAAATCCCAGATTTGTACACATGGCCTGCAGCCCTTCCCACAACAGTGAGTTAAGGAAAACTGCATACCAATATACATATATACACACATCGTAAGCAATCTAAATTATATACATAACAAATCACTAATATTGGAGACTTGTAGAAGGTTGCTATTTCCAACAAAAGGAACATAGACATACCTTCATTATCCCTAAATGTTATCTGATTGTTACAGGTAATATTGCTACCCGTAGCCCTTTACTTCTAGGTTCTGAGTAGATCATGACACCTTTTCAATATCCCAGCAGATATCAAAGAAAAAGGAATGTGTAATGTAGGAAATGATCACTGCAGCCAAACTGCCCACTATTCAGAAACTAGATAATAAATGCACAGAGACCACAGCATGCATGAAGGCTGAGAAAATACTATCATTAGTCAGAAGTTGGTAGTATTCATGCACATTTCTTTCTCTTCCTAGATGGAAATTAATGAACATTCCCAGCTGCTTACTGCCTTGACTAGTGTGTATTAACACCTAGGAAGCAGGTGGGATTGCGTAGACCTTGAGATCTTGTTGAATTGCACCATATGTCATCATTGACCCCATCAGCCAGACCTACTGGGAAACGCAGTTCTGGAGCACTGCACAGTTCCCACTCAAGCGCTAGGATAGTGGCCAGCTACTGGTCAAAGGGCATTTAACAGAATGCCAGGTTTTTAAACTTTGTGTTTTCTCAAATACATCACAATTTTACCCTTGGTTCGCTCCTGACACAATAAATAAAATAGTGTATTGGTTTCAGTGTGTAGGTGTGTTTTGCAAACGTAATGAGAAGGCTTTCATGGCCAGAATCACTGGGTTGTTGTAGGTTTTTTTGGGCTGTATGACCATGTTCTAGAAGCATTCTCTCTTCTCAACCTCTGAGGATACTTGCCATAGATGTAGGCGAAACATCAGGAGAAAATGCTTCTAGAACATGGCCATACAGCCCGAAAAACCTACACAACCCAATAATGAGATACCTCTCAGTCTATACGAAATAAATAATAAATAATATATTTTAAAATATATAAATTAATGATTTTCATGAAATACGTTGAGTTCCCATGGATTTTGTTATCACTGCTTATTCATGTGTTTGTATCTCTTATAAGGGGTTGGTTTAACCTCCAGTTGGCTAGTAAAGCTGAATTACTGTGTCACGAATATGAAATGTTTGGAAGGCTCTGCTCTAAAGACACCAAATCTTGTCTAATTTTGGAATCTAAAGGGGTTCAGCCCTGGTTAGTATTTGTATGGAATGCAGCAATAAATTTTAGTTGGGTGTATTTCACAGTAAAAATTGACAAAACCAATTAATTTTCTAAGGGTGCATCTCGAATGGATAGAAATGGTGACGCTGATTCAGAGTGGAATACTCCAGATTAACATCACCAGAGGCCTTTACTCCATGCCCTTAAGCTAGTTTGAGATCTAGATGGAGGCTAAACTGCATGGTCACAAGCTACATGACAGCTACATGGCTAAGTGGTGCTGGAACCAGTTCTGTACTATTCAACCATGACCGTTACCTTTCCTTCTTCAATCAGGCATTTGCTGTTCCCACCAGGCATGAAAATTATGCTATTTCTTGCTCAGCACCTTGAGTGACAACATCTCGAGTGATGATGTGACAGAGGAGAGGGGGAAAGAAAGATTCTCCTTCTACTTTTTCCCCTTCCTACTCTGATCAGCTTGTCACCTCATCAATCGTGTGCTGAGTGACAAACAGGTCATTTTTGTGCCTGGCTACGCAAATAATTGAGGGGCAAGATTAAAGTGTCATTTCCTGTTCCCAGGCTGCCTGAGCGCGATGGCACAGTTGGTTACACATCAGCTGTGGCTACTTCTCAAATAAGATGTAGCACAATTGATTACAAAGTTGCCCAAAGTCATAGTTTACTCTGTAATTTTTGGAAAAGCTCCAGAGTATCCTGCATCTTTTGTTAATGTGGTTCAAGGCCACGTTAATCTCAGTCAGATCCTTCATTATGCAACCGCCACAGGGCTGATTTGGCCCCCTTTCAGCATAAAGTACCAGTGAAGATGCACCCTTAGAAACTCTTTGAGATTCACGGGGTAGCCATAAGTTGACTAGTTACTTAAAGAGACATGCACATAACCAAGAGTCAGAATGCTGCAGTGGTTTGAGTGTTGGACCAGGACGCCAGTAGATCGGAATTCAAATCCCGATTTGGCCACAGAAGCGAAGTAGATTACCTTGGGCAAATCACTCTTTGAGCTTCAAAGGAAGGCAATTTATCCTTCTGAATAAATACTGCTAAGAAAATACTAGGATAGAATTACCACTAGTCAATGTTTACTGGAAGGCAAGTAACAAAACAAATTAAACTGTTTTTTTCCTTGCTAAATGGAGTTCTGTCCAGTGAAAAGGTCTCACTTGAAACTGAGGGTAGTTTGCATATGCTGTCACAAATCAGAAAGAACGGGAGCTGACTGCAAAATTCACATCATGGTAGAAAATGATAACTTATGTGTGCATTTTTGCACTTATTTTTCTTCTTATAATGGAAATTCAGATTTTAGGTAAAAACCCATAAATTATTCCTTTGTTTAAAAGAGGCGATATAACCAAAAATAAATGTGGCTTGTAAGTGAACAGAATGCTGTCTGCAGATAGTCTAAAGAATAATGAGCCCATTTTTTGCAAGATTAGGTGAAGACTATTAAACAAGTTTAAATATATTCAATATCCTGAAAAGGTGTGCAGTGTTATAATATAATAATTTTCCCCAAAACTTTAAATCATGGTAATGTGATCTAATTCAAACTCAAGTTAAAAGAGTAAATAGTCAGCCTTGTTCGATATAAAATAGCCATAATGCTAAAGGTAAATTTTAGTTGTAATTTATCTAAACAGTTGGTTCTGAGGAAATAATAACTGTGGCATATGGATGACAGAGTTATTTCCACAAAAGTCATTTATTTCTCTATGAACTTTGAATCTTTTCTTCTAAGCAGACATTTGCCATGAATGAACATTTTACTTAGCATGATGATGCACAATGCAAAAGAATGAGACTAGGCATTTAGTTCACTCCTGGAGATTCCTATAGCTCAGTCCATCAGACGAGTATTTGATTTCATTACTGCCTTATTCCTAGTATGTAATCTAAGTAGCTTTGGGAGCTTGGTTGGCAACAGGTGTTTAGCACTGACAATGTTTTGAATTGTGCAAGAACTGAAGGATAGAGGATAATTGATGAAAATGAAGATGAAATTTGGCAACCCTTAAGATTTTCAATAAATATCATATGTGTTTGTGACACCAGATTTTTCTGGCAGATAAAGCTAGCCATAGTATATTTTCTTCCTAGTACGTTGACTTTCTAGTATGTTTTCTAGTGTGCCTTTTATGTTTGTAATCTGCCCTGA